TTTCGGTTTAGCAAGGTACCTCAGGGATGATTCTTGCCCATCTCATTTGCACAATAGCAGTTCCAATGTCATAAAAGGCACCATAGGCTATACTCCACCAGGTAAATTTTCTTTTGTATATATTTTATTTGTGCTTCCAGTATGGGTTTTTATATAGCATGAGTTTTTTGAAGTCACACATAAGAACAAAGCTATGTTTTTGTGCATATAACTTAAGAGTATGGAATGGGAGGCGAGGTGTCAACATATGGCGACGTGTATAGCTACGGAATACTGTTGTTGGAGATGTTAACTGGCAAAAGGCCAACAGATGACATGTTTAAAGGTGGTATGGACCTGCACAATTTTGTTATGATGGCTCTACCAGAACGTGTGGAAGAAATATGTGATCCACTACTTGTTCAAATAGAAGAAAGCAACAGCAGTACTAATCCCAGAAGTAATAGAGGGAATCATTCCCCAAATGATCGAATAAAAAGGGTTGTGGAGTGCTTGACTTCCATTGCAAGAGTAGGAGTTGCTTGTTCTGTAGCGATGTCAAGAGAGCGAAAAGACATGAGCAATGTGGTAGCTGAATTGAGTCTAATAAGGGATGTGCTAACTGGAACTAGGATGCCTAGAGAGTATCCGTGATGACGATCCAAGTAGTGAGTAATAATGCCCTATTATCGTTAAATAAAATCCCATGACAGTGCTTGAACTTTGCATGGTGATCTTCTGAATGATGACGAGGTGGATTTTCCCGTTTTGCAATTTCATTTTGTATGTTTTGTAAATGATCTTAATTTGTATGATCATCTTTATGTTTGTTTAGAAATTTGGAATTTGTCAATTTAAGTTTGGTCTTGTTCTTATTAATTATGCAATTTTAATTCGGTTTTTATCACAAATGATCCATGAGATTGATCAAACTCATCATTTTGGTCTCTCACGTTCAAAATCAATCAATGTCATCCCTGACATTCACTATCCTACATCAATTTGGTCATTCTGTGACATTTACTATCCCACGTCAATTTGGTCATTCTGTTAAAATTTCGTCAATTATTCTGTTAGTTTGTATGTGGGACCCACACATCCAATGAAATGATGACATGTGGATTCCACAAAATAAGGGTTTTATCGCAAATGGTCATTGACATTGATCCAACTCCTCATTTTGGTCATTGAGTTTCAAAAATCAATAAATTTGGTCCTTGACTTTCATTATTGCACATCAACTTAGTCATTTCGTTAAAATCTCATCAATATTTTTTGTTTGTGTGCTGATGTGGTCCTACTAATGCAATCATATGACTCCACATGAATTAACTATGGGGAACTATTTTTTTAAGAGTGAACCAACGGACGAGCATTCCGTGCTGACATTTTTGTTGCATCCAACAACCCCAACTGGAAAAAAATTCAATCTAAATTCGATAAAATCAAATCCAAATTTAATTTAAATTTGAAGAAAATAACCAACTAGAGAGAATGAAGAGTGATTTCAGGAGGCCAAGTATTTTAATGGTGTCATGGTGCATTCCTTTTCTTTTTTAGCTTACCCTGATGAAGAGGATGATGACTTTTTTTCTTTTAGTTTTGGTTTTTAGTTCTTATTTTACTTTTAGTTTTAAATCTTAAAAAAAAAAATAGATCTTATAGTTAATCTACGTGGCACCTTATGATTGGCAATAAGCATTCCAGAGGTACCGGGATACTTCTCGGTACCTCTGGGATGCTTTTTGCCCATCTCCCTTGCATGAAAACAATTCCATTGTCATAAATGGCTCCATAGGCTATACTACCCCAGGTAGATTTATTTCTCCACCTCCGTAAATGTATCATTTTGTAAACAAACATCCAGATAAAAAAGTTATCAAATATCACTTTTATGGTAGTGATGTTCTCAAATAGCACTATTCCAATAACAAATAAACAATATCAATTAGGGAAGTGATTTTCGTACACCTGTATCAGCTTCCCACACATTTCTCTTTATTATGACCAACAAATTGAAAACAAGAAACATGATTAAATCGGAGCGTGCGTGAAACTAGGAAAATATGTGCATCATTATCAACAATAACATCATGATTATTAAGGATTTATTTATTTCTTGTTAATGTCATGAGACGACATGGAGTCATAGACGGGACAATCTAGTCAACAACATGCCGACGTACGGAGATGACATCGATTTAACAAGCGTATTTGCAACGTCGCATAATGCATTGCAATTTGCAAGAGTACTAACTATGAGAGTACTCATATGAAGGCAACTGCAGGAGAAACTTGCCAATGTACCATTTGCATGAACCTTCCTCTACGCTAGAAAAAACTATTTAGCGAGTCTTTACGTTTTACATTTTTTTCCGGATGATGCTACACTTACCACATTTTTCCAATCGTATTTGTTCTTCCCAATACGAACATTTAATAAATAACGTCTAAGTCACATTCTGCTATCTATAATAAGTCTATCTGTTTTTTTTTTCCTTTTCAGTTTTCTTTCACTACATCTGTAAGCTCGACATGGCTTTTTAAAGAGCTAATTAAGAAGAGCAATGATATACTTACTGTTACAGAAATATCCAGTGTTTTATTTGGTAGCCTAGCTAAAATGGAGTTCTCAAGCATTCATATTAGCATTTGGTTTATTTTCATGAGATCAACTTTTTTTTTTTTTTGGCTTAAATCTATATAGTTAGTAGTAATACATTTTTCAGTATGGCTTTTCAAAAGAAAAACTTTATTTTAGATTTCAAATCCATTTCCAGGAAATTTAGCTAGATTTGTCTCCAAGGTGTGGGACCAGGCATATCCAGATTTGTCTGTAGGAAAATATCAACCAAATTCTTAGAGAAATTTATGTGGATATCGGTATAGTTTGACAAATCAAAGCCAAAAGCCGCGTTCATCCAATTTTCTGTATAGTTTGACAAATCAAAGCCAAAAGCCGCGGTCATCCAATTTTTTTTCTATTGACTGACAAGGTTGTGATGGCTATTAATTCCCAAATCCTTGTGTCATCTAACAGTGACTTTCATCTCTTACTAATCTTTAAGAGATCGTTTGTTTGCCCTCACTTCAAGGCATAAGTAGTGAGAAATAATAGCCTGTCATCATCATTTCAACAGCCATGAAACTTGGACGGTAGTTTGCGTGGAGTGGTCCGGCGGTTTTAATATTTTTGCAGTTGCTTTTATTCTATGATTTGTGAATGATCTTTGTAAGATCATCTTTGTGCTTGCTTGGATGTCTATTTAAGTTTAGTGTTCTGTCGGTTTAATATTTTGCGTTACTAAGTTTGTGTTTGTCCAATCTTCAAATTTGTCAGTCTTTCTTACCCTTTTTTTTTTCTTGGTTAACGCCAGTCTTTCTTACTTTCTTTGTTGTTTACATTGATTGTTTACACACTAGTTACTGTAGTATATATTAGCAATTGAACCCACACGATACTGCATGTTTTTAATTTTTTAATTGTGTTAAACGTGAAGAAAATGTTAAAATCCATTTACATCCATATCAAACTCTATTTACATCCTTATGTTCAGTAAGGAATAAAAGATAGGTGTTTGTAGAATACACTACTTAGCAAAAATGTTGGAGAGTAAGTTGTTCATATAGATGTAATACACACCAAAATATCTTTGCTTTTTGTGATCCAACTTTTCAGATTGTTCCTCTGGACTTCACTCTTCTTTCTTCATCGTTGCCAAAAAGGTGTTCCTAGTCCGTTAAAATATCTCTTGAAAGTAATTGAAACCTCAGACAAAAGATAGATAGCTAGGAATAAAGAAAAACACATGCATGAAGAAAACTTCAAATTTTCAACCACACCTAATTTATAATTAAGCTAAGCAATGTAAACAAAATAAACAAAAAATAAATTAAAGAAAATTGGGAGAACTAATTTAAACATACACCAACCTACATTCTTACACTATTCTTCCTGTTTTCCCAAAATCTTTCCAGACATCAATGAAAACAAAACTGTTCGTAGCAATGAAAGCATAATTTCTAGTAATTGCATCCATACAAAAGCTGACAACCCAATGAGGCGGCATTAAGTTACAATGCTTGATCCTCTAATGGAACATTGTTCATAATTCAAGCACTTGAGCATCTTTTGAGTTTAATTACTACTACTTAAACATGACGAGCAAATAGGTGAATTTGGATTGGCAGTTCTATTGCCATTGTTCTAATATTCACATCTAATATTGACGGATAAGAAAACAAATGTTAGACTTGAGTCACAGTCACATGAGTACTGAAGGGCGTAGGAGAAAAGGCTAACGTCCGCCGGCGGCGAATTAGGGACGCATGCGTACGGTTCAACGCCAATGCATAGGATGGTATATATTGACCATTCAAGTTCCCTAAACACGCAAAATAGGATGAAAATAAATGATTTTATGCAATAGACGTGCAATTCTCGTCAATATTTATGTTATCATGTAAAGGCTGCATATGAGAACTGATAGCATTCAACATAGCTCACTCCTTATCTAATGAAAAATATTTTGCTCCTACCATTCAATTCCACCGATGATTGGTTTACGAGTTTCAGCCAATTCCTCTCTCACCCTGCGGAAATCCTCCTTATGACAAAAACACAACCCGATTGAAACAATAATCTTAACCATGACGACAAATTACCATTTGCATTACGGTAGAAAACTAGCCAAATTACCATTTGCATTACGGTAGAAAACTAGCTGGTTGAAAAGTTTATTATTTCTTTCCATGGGTTCAAATTATTTCTTAGGAAAACTAATAAAAATAGCTTAAAATTTTTTAGTTTTAACAATAAGGACAAAATAAGGGTAAAGTGAATAGTATCAGGATTGATTTTTTAGTATAAAAATGTGGTTTTTCGTTAAAATAAACAGTAGAGTTTCGTTAAAGTTATCTTATTTCTTTCCATACAACCTCTCTTCAATAGAATACTTTTCGGTTACGGAACTCCTCCTGGCTTGGACAACACTTCATTTCCAAAACTATTTGGGAGTTGCATGAGTTTGAGGACTCTGTCTCTGAGAGGTAACTTATTGGATGGGATAATTCCTGAATCTTTGAGTTCTTCGAGAAGGATTGAATATTTCGATCTTTCTCATAGCAACCTTTCCGGCAGAATTCCAAACTATTTGGAGCGTTTCAAGTTGCAGAATTTGAACCTCTCATTTAGCAAGGGAGGAATTTTAGAAAACACAAATGCAATTTCTACCATGGGAAACACACGGCTTTATGGCGGTACACCTAATTTAAGATGCCCTTATGCTTTTTCTAAGAAAGGACTACTTCTTAGGCTGAAAACATTCTCTCAATTGCTTGTGGGGTTGTTGGATCGATCGTAGTGTTGTAACTTGTGTCAACTTGAGGATCATATCTAAGGGTTTCACTCTTGAAATTGTCGTTTGGAGATCTCCATAAAGCAACAGATGGGTTCTGCGCTGCAAATTTGATTGGGTGGTGGAAGTTTTGATTCTGGATACAAGGCAATTCTCAATCATCATAGGAAAGAATTGCTGCAGTGAAAGTACTCGATCTTCAAAATTCACAGGCTTCTAGAAGTTTCGTAGCTGAATCTGAAGCCTTGAAAAGAATTAGGCACCCAAATCTTGTCAAACTACCAACTGCTTGTTCAAGCATCGATTCTCAAGGAAACGAGTTCAAAGATTTGGTTAACTGGTTCAAGGTGAAAGGAAGCCTAGAAGAATGGCTGAATAGGTCAGTTCAAAGAGTAAACATGCCAACCAATCTGCAGAAGCATTCGGATCTTATTCAGAGAGGAAACATTGCCATTGACCTAGGGTCTGCTCTGGATTATTTGCACAATCGCTCTCACAAGCCAATAGTTCATTGTGATTTAAAACCGATTAACATTCTCTTGGATGATGGCCCGACTACCTGTTTTGGTGATTTCGGTTCAGCAAGGTATTTGTCAGATGCTTATTCCATACTTCCTTCACCTGAAAGCTCTTCAAACGGAATAAAAGGTTTCATTAATTTTTTGAAGTTACACTTAAAGAACATGGCTTTTCATTTTTGTGAAAAATAAATTATAGAGTATGGAATGTAAAGTGAGGTGTCAGCTAATGGTGATGTCTATAGCTACGGGAATTCTGCTATTTGAGATGCTAACCGGCAAGAGGCTGACGGATGACATGTTTAAAGATGGTCTGAGCCTACACAACTTTGTCATGATGGCTTTGCCCAAATGTGTGGAGGAAGTATGTAATCCACTGCTTCTTCAAAGAGAAGAAAGTAACACTAGTACTAATGCCACAGACAATGCAGCATACCGTGCCCTAGATGATGAAAGACAGAGTTGAGGTATGATTGATTTGCGCTGCAAGAATAGGAGTTGCTTGTTCTGCAGTAATGCCAAGAGAGCGAATGGACATGAGCAATGTAGTAGCTGAATTATGTTAAATACGGGATGCGCTGACTGGAAACAGGACGCCTAGGGACCATACGGTCAAGACCTAAAACTGTCGAGAATGTTGTGTTGTATTTTATGATCTGTTATAGTCTGTATACCTCCATGTAATTTAGTGAACTGTTTTTCACCTACCAATTCTGCAAATCCTTTTGGAAATGAAACTGAATAATGGACATTCATGGCCCAAGCTTACGCTCATTTCGATATGTAATTCCCACTGCAGCAATTAACAAGTTTTTGTCTTTTAGATAAACAATCAATTTAACAATTTGATATCAAATTCCTGAAAACTACCGAAATCAAAACAACTTCCACTCAGTTTCTCAGCAACAGAAAGATCAAACCAAATCAAAACCAACAACCTTCAACTAAATTGCACCCAAGAGTCAAAATTTAATTGCTATACACTATCGGTTCTATCGAAAAACAATCGGAATTCAAAACCCTACCTCCTCCATTCTTTGAGAGCCAAGCCCTCCTCAGGCAGCATCTCCGATGGAGGCGGCAAAATCGGATCGTCGGACCCGCCAAACCCTCCATCAAAGCCCTGTCCATTCGACTCGACGTAGATAGACGGAGGAGAGAAGGCCTCCGACGCCGGCTGAGTGGCGAAAGCGTCGTCTACGGCGGAGCCGTGGAAGATTGGGGAATCGGTGGCGGAGTCCTTGAGCGACTCGGAGTCGACAAAGGAGTCGAACCGCTGGGAGGAAAGTTGGGGGTCGTAGCCCAAGTGACCGTCGCCGTCGAACGGGCGAGTTGACCCGGTGGTCGGGACTGAGTCGGATTGGGGCTCTGAGTGAATGAGGCCATGATTAAGTCAAGTGTACTGCTGATCGAAATGCTCCCAAAGGCAAAAGTCGCGCTGGAAAAATATCGGCACGCTTTATGTTGGGCTAGGCCGACTCACTGGACTTTCATTTGGTGCAACCCAATTTTCTTTATTTTACCATGCTTACCGTTACTAAACAATCGTTACTATGTTCTTTTTTATACAACGATATTGTTGATCCTAAAAACTACCAAGCCTACGTGGTGTGCAGGTCGAGTAATCTATAAGCTAACTACGTCCTTCGGTAAATGTGGTGCGTGCCAACTCGTCGGCCGAGCTCGACTGAGGAGTAAATTTTGTTGATGTTGCGTTGGGTGCGCGGCTGACTTCTGCGTCTTGCGATTGCGGCCGAGAAAGGAACACGTCTCGGCCTCTTGGGCTCTCGAACCTGAAGACAAGGTTACTATTCTTACGAAGTTCAATATCAAATTCGGCTTTCAATGTGCCGAATGTAATAACTGTAACACCTCACTTTGCCGAGAAGGCTGATGAGATGACCTCGACTAATAAGGATTCAGAAATCCTTCTTGACCGAGACTTGGATAGGTAATCAACTGTCATCGCCGCAGTGCTGTTGATGCCAACGGAAGATGCTACGAGACCGGCTGATTCTACGGTGACAGAGCTATCTATGCCGACTTAAGATATCACCAGTTGCTTTCACAGTGTTGTTGATGCCAACGGAAGATGTGTCAGCGAAAAGAGAAAATAAAAAATCTCAAAGTTGTTGAGAGAGTTTGCGCAGGGCAGTTTTGTGTGTTGAATTGGAGGTCCTTTGAACGTTGTATGCGACTCTGTATTTATAGTGACGAATACGCACTGGTTGATAAGCTGAGAAAGACTCCCAAACTATTAAAACTCATCTTCATCGAATCCAAGATAATCTGCATGCCTGGATAACGTCCATCTAATCAACCACCCAATATATACATATATATATATATATAAAGCAAAGTTTGCACCTTTCCAATGAGTTGGCAGACCTAATGTCGCCAATTATATATATATATATATGGCTGATAGCATTTGACACGGCATATAGGCCATGTCCATCATCAATTTACTTCATCTGACAACACCCCCTTAGGTCTCGTATCTCATCCTCACCTCATCCACAATAGCCATCATCATTCTGATCAAACAAATTTTAAATTCATTTTACTTCCAAGTGCTATCAGACATCCCAAATCAATTCGAATTGTACCGCTTATTTGGGATATGAATCGCATTCTATTTATCTGGTTTAAAAATACTGAGATAATTCATATTAAAAGATAATTATAATGTTATCCTTTAATAATCAAATTATCTCCACTTTCTCATCTGGCGGTCGAGAATCATGTCCACTCAACGGTGTCGATCGCTTGGGCCGATGATGTAAAATCGGGTCCAAACAGATATATTTATATAAAGGGTGCTAAAAAATAAATTGGCTGTGAACTCACCACTTCTAGGATTTAAACATAAGATCTTTATCTGACAAGTGACTATCACTAAATTGTAGTATTAAGTGACACAACATTACCATGCTTATGTTTACGCCAGTATTTATCAAATATAGTCAAATATTAGTCCTTAATTTCAAAAATGTCGATTTCTATAAAAACTTTCAAATATATTAAAAATCTCTCAAATACCCTTAATTTATACAAACTGAAAAATGAATTTAATACTGCCCATATTATTAGTACAATTAATTGATAGTTTGCAGACCATAATAAGAAGAATAAAAATACAAGGAAAGAAAGTTTTATATATCTTAAACCCTATTTTTTCTAATATGCACTAAATGAATTTCAATTAGCTTTCCACTAACTGATTGGCAATTGGTATTAGGTTTGTCAATCTTCCCATGACAAAAGAAACTTAATTTTTCTAATATGCACCAAAAGAATTTATATTTCGTAAATCTTACAAATATGCTTGTTGCACTTTCTAAAAACACAAGATCTCTCGATTCACTGACACAATCGATGATAACCTTAAAAACGTAATTTGAACACGGACAACACCCTTAATGATGCAAAGGTGTGGAAAATTAATTACAATGCACATATAATCCAAAGGAAAATTGAGATGAATAACATTACAAAGATTGACACTTCATTCTTCTATAAATATTCAATCGAAGGAAGAAACTACAAAAGCAAACAGAAACGTAGACAAGGGAAAATGCTAAAAATATCTACTCTCACCTTTGTTTGGATTGGAATGAAAAAGCTCCAACATGGGACCAATTTCTTCCCCCTCACTGATTATTTATTTCGGTATTTCATGCATATTGGTTTTTTTATTTTCATTAATTTTGGTTATGTGATTAGTGATTATTATTCTTCATTATATTTTGGGTTTTTCTTTATGTTGTTTTTAGGGTTTTTTGCTCTGCAAATTTAGATCAAATTGCCTGCATTTGAATTATTTTGTAATTATCGTAATTTATATTGGGTGGAATTGGCCCTTCTATTCTCCAAAATCTTTGTTAGGGATTACATTTTGTTTAAATTTTGTGAGTTAAAAAAAAAGATTGGGACTTTTTCTGATTTTAAATGATTTACACAGTTCCAAAGCACTGTGTGTTTAGTGTGGAATTGGTGCAACTTTTGGGGTTTCTGCGATGTCATGTTGATTAGTTGTTGGCTAAAATTTGGTTCTTTTGATTTGGGTTTGGTTAATTGAATAAAATTGTGGTTTATGATATTCAATCAATGAAAAATGTAACTTTCACAAGCTTCAAGCCTCTGTCAATTATAGAGATCTCAATTTGTATCTAAATTTTGCCTAAGACACTGGTAGAAAAATGTATTTAACATTTTATGTTCATATGCATAGGCTCGACTTCTAAAAACGTGTCTTGCAAAGCTATGCTTCACAAGTTTACAATGCTTGTCAAGTGCAACACATACATTTGTGTTGTATAATTGTTTTCGATAAGGATAATACTATCACTGCACCTTATTCCTCGACACATTGGCCTTCTTGAATCTTCGTTGGAGAGTCGCAAATCAGTTTTCCGACTCGATATCGTGGTGTTCAGTAATTCGGCTAGTAATTTTTGGCATAATCCATTTGAAAATTTTAGTTGTTTTTGTTGTTAATTATATTTAGGAGAAATAAGGTTCTCATCTTTCCTTTTGCTATTTCATTGATTAAAATCCTATTCATTTTCAATTTTTAATTAAGATCATTGGATATTAATAAAATCATTAATTATTTCAATAATAAAATATTTTTTATTTCTAAATATATTCATTTAATGTTAAAAATGTTACAATTAGTATATTTATATTTATGACTAAATTTTTTATCATATATTTTTAGTTTTAGTTTGTACCCATTTCAATTAGTATTTCTTTTTTAATTTGAACCAATTTTCTTTTCAGTTTTAATTTGTACCCATATATTAATTTCTTTTTGTGCCCATATTTTTAAAGTTTATTTGTATTTGTACCCATATATTTTTTTTATTTGTACTTTTTATTTTGCTAAATGTACCCATGCTAATTATATGTACCCATTCATGTAAAACTTTTTAATCTTAAAATGTACTCATTCTTATATATACCAATTTGTTATATGTAAAATGTCCCTTTTTTTTGGTATAAAATCTATTCAATTTTTTTAATCCATTTTTAAACTTATATGGGTACATTATTTTTTCTTTGATTTTAAAATGTATCTGTGTCAAGTTTAATCGAAGAAATTTACTAATGTTATTAAGCCTAATATCTTATTTTTTTCTTTTTTTTTTGTGATTTTGAAGAATGTACCCATGTTTTGATACAATAATTTTTTTGGTTAATTTTGATGAATGTACTCATGTTTATACACACACACAATAGTATATTTATATTTTAATATTTTCAATCCCACAAATTATGGTTTTTTATTTAAAATCTCTACTAATTAATAAAACTCTCTTTGTCAACCAAAAGAGGGTGAAAAGACAAATTAGTATAATATCACACAAAAAAATGATGGGCAATAATGTAATTTTACAAGTTCAAATTTTATTGTTTTTAATTAAAACCTCACCTACATGTGATGTTAAAATACCTCCCATATTAAAAAAAAAAAACAACAACAACCTCCCACACTCCCTCTCTCCTATGGGTGGGTTTAAAAAACCGAAAACCGAAAAAAACCGAAAACCAAACTGAATCGAAACCAAAAAAACCGAACCGAACGAAAAAACCGAACCGAATTCTTTTGGTTCGGTTCGCTTTTAGTGATCTAGAAACCGAACCGAACCGAATTAATTAAATTAATTTTTTAATTTAATTATTTGTTTTGAGTATTATTTTCTAAACCTAATTTGTAAGTTAAAATGTGCTAAACCCAATGTGTTGCCAAACTTTAAGCTCAAAATATTAAAAAAAGGCCTATAAAAACTCTAAACCCTAACCTATTATTTCTCCCCCATATAAGGTTCCGGAACCAAACATCCTCCTGAAGTACCTACATCCATCTCCAAAGCACTGTCTACTTCTACCCCAGCTTTCTTTTCCAAATCTACTCTCATATAACATGTAACATAATCCATAAAAATTTATTTCGGGTAGATTACTTGGGTAATTTGTGATGAAAAAAAAATCCAACACACACTAAATAAATCCACCCATGTATTACTTTTACTAATCAAGTTGTCAACATGCAGTTACAAGCAAACAACCCTGATCTTTGAACAACATCATACAATTTAACTTTTTTAAGTCATTTGTACAATTTTTGTGTTGTGAGGTTGTTAGTTTGGACTTTGGAAGACTTGATTGATGATTTTAGTTCAATTTTAAATGTTTATTTTCATTGTCTTTGATTCTAGTTAAAATGCTTATGTTATGATTGTGTTGGATATGTTAAAATTTAAAATTTCAATGTTTTTCATTTTTTGAAAAAAACAAAAACAAAAAACCGAAACCGAACCGAAAAAAACCGAAAAAAAATTGAACCGAACCGAAATTTCGGTTTGGTTTTGGTTTTGGCAAAAAACCGAACCGATTTAAATCGAACCCACCCCTACTCTCTCCCTCTCTCTTTCTCATTTTCTAAAAAAATGTGTTCATAGGCAAATGCTAGTCTCATTTATATAAATAACTAAAATTTCTAATTTGTAATTTAAAAAATATAGTAACGTACATAGAAATAAATTATCACATTGATTTTAAGGACCTCGATAAAAAATTAAAAACCAACAAAGTTTCAATCAAACAATATTCATAGCTAAGGACCTCATCCAAAGTCTCCCTTATATTTATTTGTCAAAGTAATGACTTAGGTTTCATGGTCAGGGCTTTATGAGTATGATTATGATCCGTCACTACAAGAAAAGTGGGCTAAGAACACAATTGATCTGTGTCCTTTTCATTTTCATTGAGCACCAATACATATCTGTGCGTTTTGAGTATCATTGAACACAAAACTATTTTATATGTGCCCTCTAAGCAAAAGGAACACCGGCGTGTGCCAAAAATGAAGTGTATTTGTGCCTACTTGCATGTGTCACCCTTAAATGTCAGAAATGAGATTTGTTTATTAATTTACTAAAGCACAATAAAAGTTTTCGTGCTCTCCAATGTAATATATTTAAATTAAAAGTAGGCTTTCGTGTCCTTTGGTTTTACTTTTTCCCATTCTCAATTCCTTTACATTTATAGCGCGTTTACGTAACCGTAATCAAAATAGATGAATTGAATTGAAGAGGAATTGGATTGAGGAGGAGTCAGAATCGGATTCCTGTTAAAACTGTTTACTTAAATGTTCTGAAATCGGAGTAAAAATGAAATGAAATTCATATAAGTGGTTTACTAATTCACGTGAATCGGAATAAAAATCACTATAATTACTAAAATGTCCTTATTCTGTTGAAGGTCTTCTGTACTGGGGCGCTTTAATTTCCTGAGAATTATTTTCAGCAACAACATTTGACTGATTCTCAAAACCCAATTTCTTCACAAATCCAGCAAAAATCTTGGAGCTTCCAGTTGTAGCCAAACCCATGATTTCCTTCGCCTTCTCAGCTTGTAGATCATTGAAAACCGGCACCTGCCCACCATGAAAATGGTCATCCGGGCAGCAGATCCAGGCTGCTGATCTCCCAAAGACGCTTCGGGTTTTTGGTAAACTACGGAAGCAAATCAATGCTGGGTTTTGACGACAGAGTCTGAGCCGTCTGATCAACTGGGTTCGAAGCAGCAGCCTCCATGGTCGTCAGCAAGTTCTTGGTTATGGGAGGACGACTTGGAGGGTTCTCTTCTCCTTCAAGAACTGGCTCAAAAGGTTGCATGTCTGCGAAATTCAACTTTTCAGCTCCCATATCGGATATCTTTGTGATGAAAATTGTCGATGAAACCAATTGAGATAGAAAATTTGATGTAATCATGGTGATGGTATGCTGAATGGTGGGGAGGAGGGGAATATAAATGGGGAAGTCAAGTAAGGCTGCCTGTGTAGGAATACAATAATCTGAAGCACAGAGAGCAATGAGTTTGTTGGGTTGAATAGCAGGCAAGCCCCAAATCAAAACCGTTCGACACGGCAATGCATGCGGAGGCAGAGAGGGATCTAGGCATTGTGATTGATAGCGAGTCCTTTGTATGCTCTTGTGATGATTTGCCGAATCCTATGGAGGAGGACATGGAGGATTTGGAGGTGGTGGAACGAGAGGAGGTGGCGGAGCAGCAGAGAGCTGCTGGAGAGGATGGCGGAGAGCAGGCCATTTGGGAAGGAAAATTTGATTCCGGATGGAGCCTTCTCCCCGGAATCCAAATACCACCTTCTTCTAGGTAATCCAATTCCGACAATATCGGAATTCAATTCCCGATTTTATGTAGGGTCCGCTGAACTGTTTATTCCGCTTAAGTTAGTAAACACCGGTGTAATCCGTAGTCGGAATTCAATTCCGTTTCTCGACTTCCATTACCCTTACGTAAACGCCCCATTAGTTCACGCCTTTCCTCTCTCTCCCCCCTCTTAAACTCAACTCCTTGTCCTCCGGACCTCCTCAGCAATCTTCCTGTCTCCCCCATCCGCTCTCTCCCTCCTCTTTCACGCAACAAAGGCTCTGTTCACCCGTCACCAACGACCGTCTAATTATACCTCCAGAATCCTCTTGTCGTCCTCTTTCCAACTCCCAAGTTTGTTTCTCCAAATTCTTAGCTGAATTTCCTCAATTTCAGATCTAAGCAACGGAGATCGTGGGCTTTCCTGCCAATTTCCGGCAAAGGCTGCCGGAATTGGACCTCAATGCAAGAGGTAAAAATGATCTCTCTTTCCCCCTCTCTCATCTATCCTTCTCCCTACTTTCATCTTCTGCTCTGCCTCCCTCAGACTCTCTTTCTCTCACCTCTGTCTCTCTCTCCGACTCCCTTTCTCTCTCTACCTTCCCAGATTCGGTCCGTCTCTCTTCCTTTTCCCGATCTGGTGGTTTTTGATGAACCAATCCAAAGCATAACTCCCAGATTCGGTCCATCTTTATTTTCTACCTTCCCAAATCCTAGATTCGGTCTCTCTCTAATTCTCTCTTATTTGATTTGATTTTCAAAAAATATATAGATCTATTTGATTTTCTTTCCTACTATTGTCTTCTTCAAGCTACATTGATCCGGATTGATGAAGGAGAATCTTCGAGTCAGAAAGATGTGGGCAAGCAAAAAAGGAGGGCCACCGGAGGCCACCCTAGAAACCACCATTGGCATCTTCACCATCGAGGTAAATTCTCCGTTTTCCCAAACTTTCCCTTCAATTTTCTTTCACTTTCTCAGTAACCAAACGGACAATTCAATCCATAAAGTTTGTATCTTTGACATTATTTGTGTTTTCAAATCGTTAAAAATAGTAGCTTTATTACAAACATTCGCCGAGGACTTGCAAGAACTTCATGGGGCTCGCTCGCAGAGGATATTACTCATCCAGGTTTCATATTTTCTGCTTTTGTAGTGTATATAATTATTATATATTACTGACGGTTAAATTGGAATTGGGGTAGGATTTCATAGGGCAAGGTGGTGATCCCACTGGGGCAGGAAAGGGTGGCGAATCCATTTATGGGTGAAAAAAAATTCCCTTGAATTTCCCATAATGTATTGAAATTTGCCTTTTTTTTTTTACCCCCGATTTTAATTAGATTTGAGAACCATAGTGAAGAACTGGTTTTGTATAATGGGTTTTAGGGGAAAGTTTGAGGACGAGATAAAACAAGAGTTGAAGCATATTGGAGCTGGCATCTTATCGATGGCGAATGCTGGTCCAAATACAAATGGAAGCCAGTTCTTTTTCATGTTGGCACCGTGCCCATCATTGGATGGTATGCTAACTTTTACCCAGTAATGTTAAGACTGTTTTTTACAACGTTGTACCAAATCTCTCATTCTTATTCCCATGTGCATGTCCATGTGTAGACCTTTTTGTAGCTTTCTAAGTTTGGGTTTTTCTTGATGTGTGCTTACGTGGTTTGGGATTACTTTCCTTTGCAAGCCTGGGTATTATATAAAGCTTTGCGCTTTTAGATTAAGGTAAAGTTTGATTATATCTTATAGTTAATTCTGATGCCCATCGCAAGGTGTATAATTTTTTTTCCATTACACTTCTGTGTTCTATCAATTAAACTCCAGACCAACTAATCTCCTAAGTTCTTTAAATTCGGGTTTATTATATGTTGTAGGAAATGGCATATTTTGAGATATTCTGCATCTTTCTTTCTTTATTCTTTACATTTGAAAGAGTGAGAATTATATTATAGGGACTTTGGATTCTATTTTTATGTCCTAATTTGTGTGAGGATTGCTTGCCATCCATATAAGAATGTTACTGAAGTGTCAGGCAAAAGTCTTTATGTTTGAATCACAAACAAGTGCATGTATACATAGCAGAATTACACCAATTAATCTGTGGGAGGAAGGATATACAACAGCTCATGAGATAAAAGATAAAGAATCATAATTTGAAAATTTGGAAGCCACTACATACTCATTTCTTGTTGCTCTGTGTAAATTTTGAAGGGTCTGACATTGAGGCAATCAAGCAACATTTTGGAAAGAAAATTTTGGAACTAGAAGATGAGAAAAGAACTGTGCAGGTTCACTTAAAACCTTAATATTTGATGTTTTTATTCTTGAGAGAACCGATATTCACTTAAACCTTTATAATTTTAGTTTTATTTTAGTTGGGGATAGAATATGTAAAATTATAGTTGTTTTTATATATAATGGTTGTGAATATCTTTGTAAATTGTAATATTATAGATGCTTGTGGTTGTGGGCTGTTTTAATTTTATGAAAAAATAATTTTTTGTTTAGCCTCAAATCTCAATTTGTAGGTGATTTGGGTTTTTAAATATTTTTTTAAATAGTTGACATATTGGGCACAATAACAATAAATGTGCTAACATGGGTGGTAGCAGTCACTTGACAACTTTGTCAGAATTGGGCACAAAAGGACCTTTATTTGTGCTTACACTTTTCAGCACAGCATGCCTTATTGTGCCCTTTGACAAATGGTGACGCCCATAGAGGGCACAGACAATATTTTAGTTGTTGCATTGTTGCTATTGGTCTATGGGCACAATTGTTGGTGCTTTTTGGCCTCAAAGGGCACAGATAATTTATTGTGCACAGTGGTCATTTTTGTTGTGGTGCGTCAAAAGCTAGGGAGCTTGAAGTGGCAACTAGAATTAAAGTGATAATACATAGTAAGTGTTTGGTTTTTGTTTTGTTTTGTTTTTTAATTTTTGCAGCAAAGTTTTTGAATTTCTCATTTTTCAGACACCAAATTCCATTTGAAAAGAGTATGTTGGTTAAATACAGGTTTTTCATAGGAACTATAGAACTTATGTAGTATTGATGCAGGTATTTTTGTCTTATAGGAGTGAAGAAATCATCTTATTTTGATCAATTTTTGTAGTATAAATCACGATCGCATATTTTTGTTTGTATAATTTGTAATTACTTACTAGATTTTTTTAATTGAAAACTACTCATTAGATTTAGATAAATCATCATGAGATTGGAATTCAAGTTTTTGTTTGTATCAGTGCATGCTATTGCTAATCACCAAATTAATTACGTTAGTTGAAATTTTTGGAATAATTATTTTTTAAATTCCTGATTACTTAAACCTCACTGAGAGAAAATTTTAGGACGAGACAATTTAGTCAACATGTCAACATATCGAGATGACAGTGATCGAGGATAGTTCTATTGAATGCGTGTTCGTACTTTGATGTTGGTGGCCCATTTTTTTTCTCTTTATTCCAGGTTGAAAATCCGGGCAATTTTTTTAATTTTTTTCAGGGGTCACTCATTTAAACCTTCTGTTCTCTCGTACATTTTCTAGTCTCTTTAATGAAAATTGTACTTTCATATAAAAAAAACAAAGAGTATTTGCTACGTCACAATGATGCATCGCAATTTGCAAGAGTAATAATTATGAGAGTAGAAAACTAGCCAATTTACCATTTGCATTACGGTGGAAAACTAGCTAGTGCAAAACTAGCTAACATTCCACTTAGGCCGAACATTTCATGACTAACGTGTAAGTCACTTTCTGTTTTCTATGATAACTCTCTGTTTTATTTATTTTTTATTCAGATTGGTTCTTTTACTAGATGAATTTTTTCAGTGTGTCGGAAATACGGCACGGTACACGTGTAATAAGATAATGGTTAAATTTTCTTTTTTCCAAGTTTCAAACAAATTGTGTTATTACACTTGGAGTACCAGACCGTCTTTCTGGCAACTTGAAAAGTTTCTCCTTTCACTTAATCTGCAAGCTTGAAATGGCTTTGTAAATACCTAATGAAGAAGAGTAATGCCACAATTAACACATTTTTCATATCACATTTGTACCACCCATCTAATAGAGGTTAACCTATTAGTACATCTAGATTCATCTCTATTAGAAAGGAGGTACAAATATGATATGAAAAATATGGTAAGAGTAGCATTTTTGATTTAAAAATTATTGCAGGTGCCCCAAAACCATCAACCACGGCATGCACGCAGAAACGGTCAAAGCGATTTAGGTTTTTCCGCACCATATTTTGATTTGCTTGACCTATAATTGACTCTTTTTTGTTACTAAGGATATATAAATATCCAGAGCTTTATTTTGAAGCCTAGCTAAAATGGAGTTCTCAAGTATTCATATTAGCATTTGGTTTATTTTCATGCAACCACTCTTTCTTCTCTTTCTTTTTAGCTTTGCCTCCTCCTCGCGTTTAGCGGAAAATGAGGTTGATAGGCTTTCCTTGCTTGCCTTCAAAGCTGAAATTGTGACCGATTCCCTGGGCATCCTTAGCTCTTGGAATGAATCCCTCCACTTCTGTCATTGGTCAGGCATTACTTGTGGCCGCAGACACCAGAGGGTTACAGTGCTCGACCTCCAATCAAGCAGGCTGGCAGGCCACCTATCTCCCCACATTGGAAACTTGAGCTTTCTGAGGGCTTTATATCTCCAGAACAATAGCTTCAGCCACACCATCCCGTCCAGAAATTGGTCGTTTGTTCCGCTTGGAAGAACTATTCCTTCATAACAACTCCTTCGGTGGTCATATTCCATTCAACATATCACCTTGCTCTAACCTCCAATACCTTGACTTATATGGCAACACTCTTAGTGGCGAACTTCCAACTGAAATTGCCTCATTGTCCAAGCTTCAGGTACTTGATTTTGGCAATAACAATTTTTATGGGATAATCCCACCTTCTTTTGGGAATCTTTCTTCTCTTTGGTGGCTATCTGTATTTGGAAACAATCTGCAAGGAGGTATTCCAAATAGGCTTGGCCAGTTGAAAAGCTTAATTCATTTTTCATTGGCTTCAAATTACTTGAATGGTACCATCCCTCCCTCCATATACAACCTCTCGTCAATTAAAGTCATTTATATGTTTCAAAACAACCTTCATGGAACTCTTCCTCCTGGCTTGGGCCACACTATATTTCCAAACCTCGAAACCTTTATTTTCGATTCCAACCAATTCACTGGACCCGTACCAGCTTCAATCTCCAATGCCTCAAACCTTTTAGTATTTTCTATCTCATCCAATAAGTTTACTGGCAAAGTGCCTAGTCTGGCACGCCTGTCAAATTTGTATCGGTTTTCACTTTTTAAGAACAATCTTGGAAATAATGAGGAAGGTGACTTGGATTTCATCTCTTCCCTAGTTAATTGCACCAATTTAGAAGTTTTATCTATCGGCTTCAATAATTTTGGAGGAGCGATGCCTGAATCTGTCAGCAATCTCTCAACAAAGCTCAGGCTAATATATTTCTATGAGAATCAGATACGCGGAAGCATTCCCATCGGGGTTGGAAATCTTATCAACTTGGAGAGACTAAGCTTTTATGCAAATTTATTGGCAGGCACTATACCGAGTTCAATATGTAAACTGAATAAGCTTTATGGCCTAGATCTACAAGTTAATGAACTGTCAGGTAATGTTCCATCATCTCTAGGGAATCTCACTTCATTAAGTAATTTGTATCTCAACTCAAACAAGTTAAATGGAAGCATACCACAAAGTCTTGGAGACTGCAGGTTTATGTTAGATTTGGATCTTTCCCACAACAATCTTAGCGGTCCAATTCCAAAACAAGTCATCAATTTACCTGTTCACTTGAATCTATCTGGAAACCAACTTACTGAATCCATTCCCATGGAAGGAGGTAACTTACAGCATCTTGTTATCTTGGATGTTTCTGAAAACAAGTTATCTGGTGAGATTCCACAAAGCTTAGGGAGTTGCACAAGTTTGACGACTCTGTCTCTGAGAGAAAATTTATTGCAGGGGACAATTCCTAAATCCTTGAGCTCTTTGAGAGGAATTGAAGATTTTGACCTCTCTCACAACAAATTGTCTGGCATAATTCCCAACTACTTGGGGAGTTTCCCCTTCTTGCATAATTTGAACCTTTCATTTAACGATTTTGAAGGTGCAGTACCAATCCAAGGAGTTTTTAAGAATGCAAGTGCGATATCTGTTGTGGGAAACACACGGCTTTGTGGAGGTATACCTCACTTAAGATTGCCTAAATGCATCTCCAAGCAATCTAAGCGCGGGTTATCTCCTAAGATGAACTTAATTATCTCAGTTTCCTGTGGGGTTGTCGGCTTGGTCTTGGTGTTGTTACTTGCGCTTCTTTATCGATCAAGAAAGGCTAGAGCGCTCAAGTCAACTTCAGGATCATCACTGGGGGTTTCACTTTTGAAACTGTCCTATGGAGATCTCCTCAAAGCAACTGATGGGTTCTCTGCTTCGAATCTGATTGGTTCTGGAAGTTTCGGGTCCGTATACAAGGGAGTTCTCAATCAGCATGAAGAAATAAATGTTGCGGTGAAAGTACTCAATCTTCAAACTTCAAGAGCTTCTAAAAGTTTCATATCTGAATGTGAAGCCCTGAAAAGCATTAGGCATCGAAATCTTGTCAAGCTACTGACTGCTTGTTCAAGCATTGACTTTCAAGGAAACGATTTCAAAGCCCTGGTGTATGAGTTCATGGTGAATGGAAGCCTAGATGAGTGGCTGCACATATCAGCTCAAGGAGTAGATAGGCCAGCCAATCTGCCAAAGAATCTGAATCTCACTCAAAGAGTTAACATTGCCATCGATGTAGCGTATGCTCTGGATTATTTGCACAACCGCTCCCACATACCAATAGTTCATTGTGATATAAAGCCCAGCAACATTTTGTTAGACAGTGACATGACTGCTTGTGTTGGTGATTTCGGTTTAGCAAGGTACCTCCAGGATGCTTCTTGCCCATCTCCTTTGCACGAGAGCAGTTCCAATGTCATAAAAGGCACCATAGGCTATACTCCCCCAGGTAAATTTTCTTTTGTATATATTTTATTTGTGCTTCCAGTATGGTTTTGTATATAGCATGAGTTTTTTGAAGTCACATATAAGAACAAAGCTCTGTTTTTGTGCATATAACTTAAAAGAGTATGGAATGGGAGGCGAGCTGTCAACATATGGCGATGTGTATAGCTACGGAATACTGTTGTTGGAGATGTTAACTGGCAAGAGGCCGACAGATGACATGTTTAAAGGTGGTATGGACATGCACAATTTTGTTATAACGGCTCTACCAGAACGTGTGGGAGAAATATGTGATCCACTACTTGTTCAAATAGAAGAAAGCAGCAGCAGTACTAATCCCAGAAGTAATAGGGGGAATCATGCCCCAAATGATCAAAGAAAAAGGGTTGTGGAGTGCTTGACTGACATTGCAAGAGTAGGAGTTGCTTGTTCTGTAGCGACGCCGAGAGAGCGAAAGGACATGAGCAATGTGGTATCTGAATTGAGTCTAATAAGGGATGTGCTAACTGGAACTAGGATGCCCAGAGAGAATCTGTGATGACGACCTAAGTAGTGAGTAATAATACCCTGTTATCATTAAATAAAATCCCATGACAGTGCTTGAATTTTGCATGGTGATCTTCTGAATGATGACGAGGAGGACTGGAACAAGTGAAGTGGATTTTCCCGTTTTGCAATTTCATTTTGTATGTTTTGTGAATGATCTTAATTTGTAAGATCATCTTTATGTTTGCTTGGAAATTTGAAATTTGTCAATTTAAGGTTGGTTCATGTTCTTATAATTAAATTATGCAATTTTAAGTTTAGAATTTGTCAATTCAAGTTTGGTGTGTGTGTGTGTATATATATGTATATATATGTATGTATGTATGTATGCAAGCCTTTTCGTACACAGCCTGCAAAAATAAACGTTAAGCGCACCTTTTGCATTGTTAATAAATTTACTCATTGCTCATTTGGTGGTTTTGGTAGCCCAAGTAACAGGCCGGGTAGGCAGAGAAATCTTATTTTAGAGAGTTTGGTTAGGGCGTGTTTGGTATCGTACTTAAATGTTTTTCATAATTTTTAAAAAAAAATTCTTAAGAACATCTTTTAAGAACAATTTTATTTAAGATTCAAGAACTTGTTTGGTATGAGATTTAAAATGGTTTAAAAAAAATTTAATTAAAAAAAAAGGAAAAAAAAAAACTACAACAACTCCCCGTGGATTCAAGCATTACTACTAATTTAATTAGATAGATAGAGAGATCCAAAGAGAGGGTCGCAAGCGAGGGTTAGAGAGAAAGAGAAGAGAGAGAGCTTAGAGATAGGCGTGGAACTCGGGTGGGTTGGGCGTGTTGCATGGTCAAACCAACCCCAACCCAACCTTTACAATTTGGGTTGGGTACGGGTTCTTATGGGTGTAGTCAGGTTCGGGTTTGAAGTAGGTTTAGATTTATTTGAGTTGGGTTCGGATTCGCCCATGGAGTTTGTTTGTACCATACTTGACCAATCCCGAAACTACTGAGCACCAGTCAACGTTATACCGTCAAGGATCCAGAAGAGTTTCCCTCCAACCAAGAGGCTAATCATAGCGCGACAAATGTTGACATTAGAAGCTAATCATAGCGCGACACGTGTCAACATCAGAAGACAATCCTAAAATTTTATTTTCAGGATTTAATTTAGATTTTGAACCCATTTACAAGAAATTTTGCTACATTAGTGTCCAGGGTGTGGGAGCAGGCATATCCAGATTTGTCTGTAGGAAAATATGAATCAAATTCTTAGATAAATTATGTCAATATCGGTATAGTTTGACAAATCAAAGCTAAAAACCGCGTTGATCCAATTATCTTTCTATTGACTAACAAGGCTGTGATGTCTATTAATTCCCTAGTCTTAATCTAACAGTGACAGGCATTTGTTTGCCCTCACAGGCATTTGTTTGTACAAGGGAGTTCTCAATCAGCATGAAGAAAGAAATGTTGCGGTGAAAGTACTCAATCTTCAAACTTCAAGAGCTTCTAAAAGTTTCATATCTGAATGTGAAGCCTTGAAAAGCATTAGGCATCGAAATCTTGTCAAGCTACTGACTGCTTGTTCAAGCATTGATTTTCAAGGAAACAATTTCAAAGCCCTGGTGTATGAGTTCATGGTGAATGGAAGCCTAGATGAGTGGCTGCACATATCAACTCAAGGAGTAGATAGGTCAGCCAATCTGCCAAAGAACCTGAACCTCACTCAAAGAGTTAACATTGCCATTGATGTAGGGTGTGCTCTGGATTATTTGCACAACCGCTTCCACATGCCAATAGTTCATTGTGATATAAAGCCCAACAACATTTTGTTAGACAATGACATGATTGCTTGTGTAGGTGATTTCGGTTTAGCAAGGTACTTCCGAGATGCTTCTTGCCCATCTCCTTTGCACGAAAGCAGTTCCAGTGTCATAAAAGGCTCCATAGGCTATACTCCCCCAGGTAAATTTTCTTTTACATACATAAACATACATACATACGTGTGTGTGTGTGTATATATATATATATATATATAGAGCATGAGTTTTTTCAAGACACATGAGAACAAAGCTATGTTTTTGTGCATATAACTTATAACTTGAAAGAGTATGGAATGGGAAGCGAGGTGGCAACATATGGTGACGTGTATAGCTATGGAATACTGTTGTTAGAGATGTTAACTGGTAAGAGGCCAACATATGAAATGTTTAAAGATGGTATGGACTTGCACAATTTTGTTTCGATGGCTCTACCAGGACGTGTGGAAGATATATGTGATCCACTACTTGTTCAAATAGAAGAAAGCAAAAGTAGTACTAATCCCAGAAGTAACAGGGGGAATCATACCCCAAATGATCAAAGAAAAAGGGTTGTGGGGTGCTTGACTTCCATTGCAAGAGTGGGAGTGGCTTGTTCTGTAGCGATGCCGAGGGAGCGAAAAGACATGAGCAATGTGGTCTCTGAATTGAGTCTAATAAGGGACATGCTAACTGGAATCAGATGCCAAGTGAGCGTCTCTAATCAAGGCCTATGTAGTGAGAAATAATGGCCTGTCATCATTATTTCAGCTGTCATGAAACTTGGACAGTAGTTTGCGTGGAGCGGTCTGTCGGTTTTAATATTTTTGCAGTTGCTTTTATTGTATGATTTGTGAATGATCTTTGTAAGATCATCTTTGCGCTTGCTTGGATGTCTATTTAAGTTTAGTGTTCTGTCTGTTTAATATTTTGCTTTACTAAGTTTGTGTTTGTCCAGTCTTCAAATTTGTCAATCTTTCTTACTTTCTTTGTTGTTTACATTGATTGTTTACACACTTGTAATTGTAGTATATACCAGCAATTGAACCTGCGCGATGCCATAGGTTTTTAATTGTGTTAAACGTGTAGAATATGTTAAAATCCATTTACATCCATATCAAACTCTATTTACATCCTTATGTTCATTAAGGAATAAAAGATAGGTGTTTGTAGAACACATTACATAGCAAAAAAAGTTGGAGACTAAGCTGTTCATATAGATATAATACACACCAAAATATTTTTGCTTTTCATGTCCCAACTTTCAGATCGTTCCTCAGGACTTCACTCTTCTTTCTTCATCGTTGCCAAAAAGATGTTCTTCTGGCACAGTCCGTTAAAATATCGTGTGAATGTAATTGAAACCTCAGACAACAGATAGATAGCTAGGAAGAAAGAAAAACACATGCATGAAGAAAACTTGTAATTTTCAACCACACCTAACTTATAATTAAGCTAAGCAATGAAAACAAAATAAACAGAAAAATAAATTAAAGAAGAAAATTGGGAGAGCTAATTTATACATACACCAACCTACATTCTTACACTATTCATCCTGTTTTCCCGAAATCTTTCCAGACATCAATGAAAACAAAACTGTTCGTAGCAATGAAAACGTAATTTCTACTAATTGCATCCATACAAAAGCTGACAACCCAATGAGGCAGCATTAAGTTACAATGCTTGATCCTCTAATGGAACATTGTTAAAAATTCAAGCACTTGAGCATCTTTTGAGTTTAATTACTACTACTTAAACATGCAAAAAATTGGCTAGACTTTTTTTAATTAACACATCCGTAAGATAGCTAATTCTAATTAGTCTCATGACGAGCAAATAGGTGAATTTGGATTGGCAGTTCTAATATTCACATCTAATATTGACGTATAAGAAAACAAATGGGGGGACATATAAGCAAAGCTGAGACAGAGAGTTTACATATATAATCCCCATTTCCTCTTTTTTCATCTGCTCTCAGATACAATGTGAGTGACTAAATGAGTGCATTTAAATTAGAAAGAGATGACATAGGCATAACTGGGCAAAGAAAAGGAGGAAGATAAGATGAAACAAAGAAAAGGCCTTTAAAAAAAATTTGACAGAGGCGTTTTCAGCAAGTAAAAAAACAGAGGCATTTCCAAACAGAAGATTAAGTGTTAGACTTGAGTCACAGACTCACATGAGTACTGAAGGGGGAGGAGAAAAGGCTAACGTCCACCCGCGGCGAATTAGGGATGCATGCGCACGGTTCAACGCCAATGCATACGATGGTATAGTTTGACCATTCATTCAAGTTCCCTAAACACGCAAAATAGGATGAAAATAAATGATTTCATGCAATAGACGTGCAATTCTCGTCAATATTTATGTTTCATGTCAAGGCAGCATATGAGAACTGATAGCATTCAACATTGCTCACTCCTTATCTAATGAAAAATCGTTTTGCTCCTAACATTCAATTCCACCGATGACTGGTTTATGAGTTTCAGCCAATTCCTCTCTTACCCTCTCCGACCCAAAAAAGGTAGGAAAGGCCTGAAATTGCCCGGAAAAATAAACACCGCAAGCTGGGCTTTTGGAACTCTTCGGTCGAGGGTAGATTCGAGCACGCAAAGCTCGAATGTTGTTGTTGTTAGCACTCTCTTGAGTCGAATTGTTGTGGTTGCAGTGGCAGCCGTCAGAAAACGTCGATTTTTGGGTTTCTCGTTCGAACGGTAAGTCGGCGTCGGTGAGGAGCGAGAGGGGGAAGACAGAAGAAGAGAAGAGAATAAAAAAATAAAACGTATATATATTTTCTCAGAGTGTGGCAGAGATGTAATAAATCAAATTTAACAGGGGCAAAACGGGAAGAAAACTGTGGTTGTGAACAGTGAATCAGCTGGTTTTGAGTATATATCAAATTAAATTTGGTTGTGACTTCTTGATTCTTATTATCGTTAGAATTTATATTATTTTCATATTTTTTAAATTGCTCCAACATTTTCTTCTATAAAGTATTCAGTTGTTTCTTTCAAATTATCTAATGTTAACGATAATCAGTTGTGTCTTTTAGCTAATGCAATCATTATTATACATAAATTCTGACTTGCAGGTTGCAACCAATCCAATACATAGTTTAGTGGTGCCACCCGTTAAAAATTATTTCAATCATTCCACAAATGTATGTCATGTAACGTCATCCAGTCACTTGAAATCAAGGACACTGAAAATCAGAAGAGTTGTAACTTGTATAAGAGCACTAGCTCTCAGTATTGTAATCAGAAGAGTTTTTACAGAAAAAAAATACGAACACAAAAATATATTGGAGCTCTGCTCCCTTCTACTTCATCTTCTCCATTTGCCATTTCTATTGCAGCTTGCAGGTTGAGATAGCGTCCTGAGATTTGTGATCCTAATCCTATCATCTCGCTGCCATGGACGCGCGAGTTTCAGCTGCCTTCGACTCCTTTGAAGCTTCAGTGCGTGCTGCATTCCGTGAAGCTCTGGCACCCGTCTGCCATGAACTTTCTCTGTTACGCCGTGATTTGGCTGTCGCAGTTGGGGGAGTTTCTGATCCAGCCCCGATGATTTCCGACGACGCTGAATCAATCGATCTCGGTCATCCCGGACTTCAAGGAGACAACAGTCCACCGAGAAATCCATCGCCAATGGAAACAAGAAAATCTAAGAACGGAATATACCCATCAGAAAATGTTCAACCAAACAAGAAAAACTCCACAATGTTGTAATGGAAATACTTGTTTTCTACGAACTACGCCTCACAAAGAACGCCAGGCAAATTACGAAACAGCAACTACAGCCTCGGGGGTAGCCGCCACAACTGCAGCCTTGGGGGGAGCAGAAGTACTCGGTTTTGCATCCTTGCTGGGAGCTGGGTCTGGCGGTGAAGGCTTAAGGTGGGGAGATGTATTATGCTTCAATTTTAAAAGTATCTGCCTCATCCTTGAAAGCTCGGTTGGCTTTCCAGGCCTTGGACCTTGGACAACGAGAATGGATAGCTTCTTTTCCGTATCCTTCGTCCCTATCTTCTTCTCGATTGCTGGCACCTCATTGGGGATGAGGTCCGCAATTGCCTTCCAGTAGTTCTTGTCTACCTCAGCAATGAAACTTCTCTTGATTAGCTAGGAACAGCTGAGAAACGCCAAAATACAAGTTCAAAACAATGTCAGAAATGCATGTTAACTCCTCGCTTCTTCATACCTTAGAAGTTAGATGCCAGAGAAATCGATATGGATATTAAAGGCAAAGAAACCGCAAAGTTGTGACAAAGTTCAATTCCAAAATGTTTAGCTCAAAGGACTAGAGTTCAGAAAACCATTAACACAACCAATACTAGTAGCATTTGTTTTACGATGAAGCCTAACAGGGAAACATTGTAAATTTACATAGCGAATCCTAAACAGTTGTGACCATCACTTTAGTTGAATTCCGAAAAGTTCAGTCCCAGCAGAGAGAATAAAAGTTACGATCTTGTAAAAAGTTATGAATAACCAAGCTGAGCGGATGTCGGGAGCTACGTGTCAACATTTTGTGGCTCTTCTTCAACGCCTATTTCGATCAAGTATTCAATTATTGAATGAATCAGCAATTCAAAGCCCTGGCCGTTCAATTCGGCGTAGATCGACAGACCCGCCAAACCCTTCATCAAAGCATCTAGGACGGAGAAGGCAAAATCGGATCGTCAGACCCGCCAAATCCTCCATCAAAGCCCTGGCCGTTCAATTCGGCGTAGATCGACGGAGGAGAGAAGGCCTCCGACGCCGGCTCAGTGGCGAAAACGTCGCCTACGGCGGAGCCGTGGAAGATTGGGAATCGGTGGCGGAGTCCTTGAGCGACTCGGAGTCGACGAAGGAGTCGAATCGCTGGGATGAGAGTCGGGGGTCGTAGCCCAGGTAACCGTCGTCGTCGAACGGGCGAGTTGACCCGGTGATCGAGACCGAGTCGTCTTCGGGCTGAGCGAACGAGGCCATGATTAAGTCAAGTCAAGTGCACTGATGAGCGAAATGCTCCCAAACCCAAAAACTCACGCAGGAAAAATATCAGCACGCTTTATGTTGGGCCAGGCCGACTCACTGGGCCTTCATTTGGTGCCTGACAATATCTGGTCCTATGTTTTAATTTGGATGTTTTTGTGTTTTTGTGACAATATATGGCCCTATGTTTCCTCCTCAACTTCTTCCTTCCTGCTCGATTTGGATTGGAACGAAAAAGCTCGAACATGGGACCAATTTCTTCCCCCTCATATTTTTGTTTAATTGAAAACTACTCATTAGATTTAGATTAATCATCATGACATTGGAATTCAAGTTTTTGTTTGTATCAGTGCATGCTATTGCTAATCACAAAATTAATTACGTTTGTTGAAATTTTTAGAATAAGTATTTTTTAAATGCCTGATTACTTTAAACCTCACTGAGATAAAAATTTAAATATAGTTCCCTAAGCAAGCTTGCTTATTTTTCAACTCTTTAACTGATGTGTGACTTCTAACTGTAATTTTTCGTATTTCTTCTTTTATATTCTGATTATTGAATTTGAAATCACTTAATGAACTGAAATTGCCAAACCATGTTAGAGTGTAATTTTGCGCGTTCCATTTGAGTTTACAAACAACATTTACATTCATATGTATGTTTTGTTCAGTGCCTATCATCTGTTTGATAAAATATACCAGAGAAACATGCACGCTCGCACACACGGTTTTCTGGGTTCTTTGTTCTCTGTTTTTAGATGTTTCTGGATTGAGAATTTCATGGGTGAAATGCCTCTGCGCATTGGGTCTAATTGCAGGTGAGAAAACACAGAGAGCCAGCAAAGCTTCGTAGAGAGGAGGCATGAGTTTCCTATGATGGTAAGTCTATTCCTTCATTTGGGTAAAGCATCTTCATTGTGGTGTATTTGGCAAAACTCGAGACCCTTTTATGCATTTTTTGTTTTGATTGGTTTGTTGGATGTCAGCATGCGGGACACTTGAGTTTGAGTACCTTTGTCTGTTCCGATATGATTTTCACTTGAACAGCGCAATTGGAGATCCTACTTTAGACTAAAGTAATGTCCTCAAATAGCACTATTCCAGTAACAAATCAACAATATCAATTA